ATGCACAGCACAGCTTGAACCCTAAAGACAGGACAGACACGGGCCAGTTCCTACCACCCAGCCCTGCCACCAGCACTTGCTCCTTGATGTGGATCATGGAGGCTGCGTTGACACAGACACCACATCTGTGCACTCTGTATATACCCGAGATGTTCATTTGCACTCTCACTGCTTACAGAAGTAGCTTTTCCTTCAGTCTGAAAGGTACATGATAGGAATGGGTGACAAAGGAGCAAAAGGCTTAGGGAAACACACAACTAGAGTCTTGCCATTTTAGTCTCAGACAGATCTCTGCTTGCTGGTAAGTCTTGAGCTATTGATTTTCCTTACTGCAATGCTGCAAAATAAAGGAATAAACTTCTGTCAAGAGATGGCAAAAGGACACAGGGCAGCAACTTGCCAGGAAGAGTAATTCTTTGAAATCTGTCCTGTGCATTTCTTATGGGGGAATGATCCCTGCAACACAACAAGCCCCGATATCATCATGCCTTCAAGAATCACTTTCCTACAATGCTTTGCGATCCTCACGCAGCTCAATTGGTCATGTTCAGCTTCACAGTCCTGAAGAGGGGACAGCAAGGAGCTGGGAGCCTACTGCCAATAACCACAAGCAACACCTTAAAAGAACGGTTGCTGCTGTTATAGGATCTTTATTTGAGTCAACCTCTGCATATTCCTATTCTGGGAATCTGGCTGCCAAAAATAAGGTGGGCTGGGCAGGCTAATTCAACAGAAACTGCAGGAATGCCTCACCAGAGAAACACTCATCTGAACGCTGAGATGTGACACAAGCAGGGTAAACGTGCAGAAATCCAAGAAGCGGCTCTATATATTTTTATGATGGAAGACCACAGCTGACAGTGCTGAGTTAGCCCAAAGCTCAACAAGACCCAAATCCACATACTTCAATTCTTGAAATAAATGTGCTTACCTGGGGCTAGATTCCTGCAAGAAACATTTCCTGTTCTCTAAGTAATAAGTAAAAGAAATTGAATACAGGTGCGTACTGCAAGCTGGCTCTCTCTTGCCCTTGCTTGTTCAACTCTTTTAGGACCCCTGAGTAGCATTTATGCACCTATTCTACAATATGTTCAAAGTGTCAGTTTATGTCAAATTCCCATATAAGTTCACTATTGGTAATGGACATTATGCGTTCATGAAATTTTCTAAAAGCTGTATAATTATTTCTGTATTTTAATTAGAAGTCGACTTACTAACTTATTCTTTGTGTGCAGATTCTTCCTTTGATTCTATAGTCAAACGGCAGAAAACACTTCACATGAAAATAATTCACACAACAAAATTTCCCTCACTTTTAAGACCTCATTCTTGCCAGCCGCTGCTTTGGCTTTGTCTCATGTAAAGCACTGGTCTCCCTGACATTTAAAAGCTGCTCTTTAGCACAGCCCTTATGCGAGCCCATTTTCCTGGGCTCTGCGCTAAGAGAATGACAAAAGATAGAAAGCTTTTACCATTTAAAAAGAAAGGCATGGTGAAGAATATCCTGAAACATTGCTTTTTGTAACACTTTTTTTTTCCCTTTCCTATCACCTTAACATTTATTTTTTTAAATGACCAAAACCGTATCAGTACCAAGCCAGTTCTGCAGTCCTGGTGCTAGACGGGCATCACCAAAAAGTCTCATTGCTTAGCACACACAGCAGCACCTCTTCCCTTAAATTCAGGATTTTATTTTATTTTATTTTATTTTGCACCAGTATGCTCCAACAGGTCACAGCCTGCCACTTTGTGTTACTTACTGCTATGGCCATGTTGAGACAGGGTAGTTCTCACAGGGTTTCCCAATGGCACCCACTGTAATTTATATTAAGCCCTTAGGCTGCATATTTCCGAGCCTGTATCCAAAAGGAATTCATGCCCCAGCTTAGTCTATTGCATCAAATTCTCTGCATTTTTTCCTGAGGGAAGCTTTTCAAACTGCTGTTAAAGACAGCATTAATCTGAAGACTTTCATGTGGTCTAGCACTTGCCGTGTCCCTGTTATAATATCTACAGAGTTATCATCTTTGCCATGACATTTGGACACTTCATGTAGAAACTGGAAGAATCTGAGGCCATGTTAAATGTCAAGCCATGAAAACAGAGACAACTCCATGCCAGCCAGGCTGGGGAGCGCAGGAGAATATATAACTTTATTTCTTATGTCTAAAAGTCTCCGAGATCCCTCAAAACTATGCTTTAAAAGGTGGAAGAACTCTGAGACATGACAATAAATCTGCGAAGTGATACCATAGAAACGGCCAACCCTGCTGCTTTCGCATTAGTGCATATATGTCAGAGAGTCACCGAGCAACTAGCAGTGCAGGTGTCGGAGCAGCTGAATGGCACTGAAAGGCAAGGACTCATTCTCCTCCTCTAGGCGCTTGAACACTCGCGCTTGTTGGCATGGTCATTTCTGTGACTCAGAAGGGAGCGATCTGGCTGCCAAATCTAGGCTGAGAATGGGAATTGGCATGTTTAAGCTTAGTGCTTAAAGCTTTAAGAGCTTTAAATATTAACTTGGTTCAACTTGCATCACACCCTTACAGTTATTGCTGCAGAAATTTTAATGCCTTTCCAGCAGCAAGCTGGCTCCAGATTTTGTCACATTTTTCTCAGCAACTTATAGGCCACTACTCTGTGTCTGGAAGCAACAGTCATCTGATGTAATGAACCACCCTGGATACACAATTCATCCATTCCTTGTCAAGAAAAAATTACCATAGATCTGAGTGAAAAGGCTGCTTCTCCTGCTATTTATCTAAACCATCAGTACTCGTGGCTCACATCAGCAAATCTATTAATTAGACGACTAAGCTTTGTGCTCCTGCTGAGCCCGAGGTTGGACTAGATGACCTCCAGAGGTGACTTCCAACCAGAATTATTTTATGATTTTGTGATAACTTCAGTATTCCTGAAAGACAGGAACGGTGGCTACAGTGAAGCACTTCTGATACTGTGTCTTTTACAGCAAAATAATAGATACTGCCTAACTTGACAGCCACAATTTTTTGTTCAAGCTTTAGATCCCAACATTTACAGAGTTCCTCTAAGCACTCCAGCCAGGCATCCCTTGCTATCAGCTCCTGTAATAGGTGATGCCTTGGTTCCTTCTGCACGGAGACTGGGTGCATAAATCAAAGAACACCCGTGATTTCTCTGACAGCTTGCCAGAGGTGAAATCAACTCTGAATGCAAATGTTGCTATTTTAAACGAAGTCAGACAACTAACAGTGAATTACAGCTGGGAAAGTTAGATTCTCTGAAACAAAACACCATCGATTGTTCCTCTAGATTACACAATGTAAGTAAAGTTCACGCTAACGTGACAAAAAAGCCACGCTTCTGTCTAAAATCCACAAACTTCTTCCCACTGTAAGCTATATTCTCCAATATTTTCCTGTGTCTTAAAAACTAGATCTGTTCACACAGGTCCTCTGATGCTGCTCCACTGAAGAGGAGGCTTAGATGAGTTTAAATGGCTCCTCAAGATGTGTCTTCTCAAGCTGACATTCAGGTAAAAAAGCCTTCACACCTGAAAAGCTACAGTCACTGCTGAATACACATGAAGCAAGTAACAAACCATTGAAGAAACACAGGCTTAGTATGCTGAATGCCTGCAGAAACAGCTGTAACTGTTACTGACGTGTAAAAGTCTTCAGGTTCTGTCTGTCCCGAAGGCTCCAAAGGAACCTTGCACAGTGCTCAGAGAGAGAGCAGGGGTCATCTCACAGCACTGCTCCCAGGCCTGGGTTTTCCAGTTTGGGGAAGTCCTGCTTTGGTCTTTTGCGGTACTGTCTCCCTTGCACAAACCCCAGCGACGTGATATTCCCTGCAATACAGCATCACCAGAGAAAGTACAAGAATTGTGCTTTGCCCTTGGATGCAGATGTGGTCACACTATGGCTCATGTTGACTGCCCTTAACAGTTTCCCTGCTGCCTATAGAAAAAATTTAGTCTGGACACTAAAGAGGTTGCTCATTGGGGCAGGAAATGAAAAGAGAGCACAGGTATGTTGCAAGACTGTTTGTAGAAAAGTGCTTCTTTTTAGATCTCCTTCAGCTGACCCTTCTACTAAATAAACAAACAAACAAAAAAATCTACACTATTTACACTACGCTTGCAATATTTAACATGTTGGGGCATCGGATTTCAGCTACTGGTGTGGTAACACAGTGCTAATTCTAATGGCTCTGAAATGCTTCCGAGAGTGGCTGCAAGTTTTCTCAGGAAATCCTGACTCTCTGCCAACTGGCTGGCTGTTATTTCCTTTTTCAGTTCACCTTGTGTTGACTCTAATGATGCCAATGGTGCACTAGCGTGTGGGTGCACACAAAAATCCATTTCTGGTACATAACATTTAAGAGCCTCTAGCAGCTCTGGAAATACAGAGTTGAAAGTCTTTATTTACACATATTTCAGACTGCATGTTATAGAAAATGGCTAGGACAGACTAGCTTCATCAGCATAAACAGCAAGACCCACTTTTCTCTCTTTAATGGCTTTTAAAAATTATTTTATTTTTCAATACAAACTGTCAAAGCATGCACAGTTAATTTCCCATATTATTTTTTCATTTTCTGGTATTTGCGCTCAATGACTGAGCCCGTGTGCCACATTTTGCCATATTTACTTCCCACCCAAGTGGTGGGACAGAAAATTTAATCTAAGTGAAATACTTCAATCGCACCCCCGAACTCGACCAGTTCTTTTCCTACGCATATCTTGCTTCAAGGCTTGGACCATGCTTTCACTGGAGTTTGCAGGACAATACTGCAGGGACGGGTAAAGCCTTTAAGTGTACCTTTTTCTTTGCTCAAAACTTTCCCAGTGTATGTGCGGACCAAAGTAGCAAGGGAGACCCTTGACGATAACCTGCTGCACACAGCAGGGTCCACAGCTCCCTTCTCTGTTGCACAGAGCTAACCATGCGGTAACAGCCAATCATAACCTAGGGAGAATGTTTTTCACCACAAATATGAATGAAGTTGTTACTTACAAGTTCTTCACATCAATGATTCCTCGAAAGGCCTTTCTAGGGATTCCTTTTATCTGGTTTTCACTCAGGTCTCTGAATAAGGGAAGAGAAAAAAATACATTGTATTAACAAGAGAACACATTTCTCAAATCTACATGAGATAATGGAACATAAACGTGCTTGGAAAAGTAGATGTTTCTGGATTTGTTATACCACACGATGTTTTCAATTTTCTTTACCTCCTCTAGAGATAAAGGCATGAGCTGAAATGACTCTCCAACGAAAACCACCGGAATTCATGATACAAATGACAGAACTTCCAGAAACCATCACTCAGATGTGGTCATGACACTGGCACAATGCCATGATTCGCTGTCACGAGTACCTGCAGCCAAATCTTACGCCTTGAAATTGCAACCCTGTAGTGTAAATGTAATTTTCTCACCATGCTCCTGTTTATTTACCAACTGCAAAAACACTTGGCTACTCCTGCTCCTTATTTGAAATTAATATTCAGGAAAAACATGACAATCATTCTCTTGGAGTTTTATAAATTTACACTGAAAAGATCTTCATCCACTGCGTTTAAAACAAAACAAAACACCACTGCATTGTGTATCAATGTATCAATGAATGACAGAGTTTTTAACCTTGTTTAAAAAAACAAACAAACAAACAAAACAACAGCAATTCAAAATGTCTTTCTAGTACTTAAAACATTACAAAATGTTTCAGTTGAAATCATTACATCTGCATTGTAAGTGCAGGTAGAGCAAGGAGCACTGCAGGTTACAGTTTTCTGTTACACAACCTGCATTCAGTTCCTTTTTCCTTTGATGCACCATAAACATTACTGGAATTTTCCAAGTTTGCAACCCCCTACCAGCACCAATGGAGGCAGGTAGGAGGGCATCATGAATGGGAGGGAAACGGATGCAGAATCAGAAAGTTGGAATGTTTTCAGGGTAAGGAAAAGCAGCACTCACAATGACTTCTTTGCTGGTGCCCTGTCAGCGTGGAAGAGAGGGAGCTATTTCACTCTGGTTCAGGGTACAAAGCGGGGGGAAGAGAGAAGTGTAGGAAGATGAAAGGAAGGCAGAAGAGTGGGAAAGAAAAATGGAAGAAATAAGCAAATGGAGGAAATGGAAGGCACAGGGATGGCTGGAGAAAAGGACAAAGAAAGGTGGTACCACAGCGCAGGATATTACACAGTGCATCACTCAGTGTGACTGGGTCCCTATGCTGTACAAGCCCAAGACTTTGCCCCGTTTTCAGAAAGAAACCCTGGCTTTCTAATGGTTATTAAGACTGCATGGCAGTCATCTGTACTCACCACCAGATACTCTTTTCAGTAAGTACATTTTGTGTTGCAGCAAGCCTCCTTTCTAGTCTCCACCAAATTGACTTTATCAAATGAGAGGCCAGAAATCAGAGCCTGTCACAAAAGCCCACAGTGACATTGTGGGTCAAGACGTGTCACGCAGGGCTTTCTTCTGCTTTCCATCAGGCAGATAGGAAAAAAAGGGGACTATGTCCTTGTCATGAGACTAATTCAATTTATACCAGTCATGCAGTCTACACCAAATTCTCAAAGTAGCCACAATTGTCCATTCAGACTATCACAAACAAAAATGTGCTGCTGGATACAAGTCTCTTTTTCAAGCCAGATTAAAATTCTTTGTGACCTTCACAATTTGTTTAACACTGATCCACACCCTGACCCTTCCTTCACCTCCCCTTTCTTTTGCCAGCAAGAAAATATTAGTTCTTTAAAGACAGACCTTCAACCCAGACAAATGATCAGGCAACCCGAACACAGAAGAGTTGAAAGTAAAGTGTATTTCAGACCTATAAGAAGCAAGTCTTACGCTGAAGACCAATTTCATGACAGGGAGTCACTTTGGTGTGACAGCAAGGCACAGCAGAGCTACAGCCAACGGTAAAAGCGTGACAAAATGGCTTAGGAAGGCACAAATGAGTAAGACCCAAAAGCAAGACACACACAAAGTAGAGTAAAAAGGGCTCGACAAAGTAGAATTGTGTGATCAAATAAAACCACACTAAACCCACCACCACCTCAAGTTGCATTTGTCCAGCATTTTATTGTGCATTATTCCATATCAGGTTTAAAAATAAATTAGCTTTTCAAGTATTTTTTTCTAACATTATTGTGGTCTAAAAGGGCTAATTTATATTTTTGCTTTGTGCTTTGTCTTTATGCTCAGCTCTCACTTGCAGTCAGGCATAACCAGGGAACTGTAGGAAATTCATCCATTTTCTATGACAATCTTCTTGTAAATTGTATTAATTTTATTTTCCATTTAGGCACTCTCCTCTAGCTAACAACAGTGCCTCTCTAAACCTCCAGGACCGTAGACTGATTTCATAAATATCTCTAGTGGTCTGAAGAACTGACAGCCTGCACGGCATTAGTGACGCAGCACGGAAGAAAATTCACAACTGCATGCTTCATTTTCCATAACTGCCTTCTCACAATTATAGTCGTCCCTTTTTGAGACAGTTAGGAAGAGCG